CCAGCATTGTTCAAATGTAACAAGTAGAACCTGAAGAAGGACAATCATAAAAACATTTTTCTGCTTAAGTTCAATGATCGTGGTAAAATATCATTTACTCATATTAATTTACCACTTCGATAAACTAATTTATTTCCATTTCAATGGAAGTAAATTAGTTCATTTTTTTCCATTTTTTCTAGCCGTGCGATAAAAATATTTTTTCACAAACTAACAAATACCTTCAGGTGAAACATTTGCATAAGTTGGAACAGACAAATTACGATTGCAGTAATTTCCTTCCTGACAGCATGCAATACTTTTTGGTCGAGCATGTGCAACTAAATGTGCTTTGCACTGAAAAATAATATTTATTTGAAAGTAATATGTCCAAATTATCAAATAATCGACATGTAACGTAACTGAAATTATATGTGCTCCATTTTTCTTAATGGTGGCTCTTTTGCTCAATATTGCAATCTTACAATGCCTTGAAATTAGAAAAAGAATTACTACGTTAATTCTCATTTTTATTCAAGACACTATCACGTAACTGATATAGATAATACTATAAGTCTCGTTTCTAGGCCTCTTCAACATACATCAATTACTTAAGAGTGGTAAGTGCAAATAATGAAGGAAACAAAAAAAATAAAGATTTTTATGCTCTCTTACTGTAAAATAGGAACCGCCTGAGCCACGTGTTAATGGAGCGCAACCGAATAAATGCATTGTCTCTGTTTGCTTCAACGTCTCATCGTATATCTGAAAATCGAAATGTCAAATAGCAAGATTTCAATTTTATAAATAAATATGCAAATATGTAAAAAAGATTGGAAGTTACAATTTATTAGATATGGAACACACTTCTTCAGTGAAATGGAAGCACGAAGCTTCCAGATGTTTGATGCATGTGAAATTCATAAATCCACCACAGAATTCTGGAGCATAATTGCAGTAACAAAAGCTTCGCTCATCTTCATATCTCGCCGGTGCCTGCAACTTCGTAAAACTATGTTACATCTACTTCTCAAACCAAGCTTAAATCATACAGCCCATTCAGGACTTAGCAATATTCTGACTGAAATAAATAGGCGAAACAATTTGCTCTGAAATCTGAAATCAATTTGTTGTTTAGTGTCAATATCAAACATACAATAGTGATCCAGTAAGGACAGGAATCTTTCTTTAACAACATAAATTCAGTTCCTTTCTCACAGTATGTTTCCTATAGGAAGAGAAGGAGAGCTAGAAAGCAAAACATACTGCTATAAACCTTAAAAAATAAATAAGTCAGCCAAAGATATGCATAAAGTATGTATCTTTTGAATTTTGACATCTAAATAGCACACATTTTTTCTTTTTCGATCAGCTTCTGATTCAACCCTGCTTGAATTAAATTGATACGGTCGTCCTTGAGCATCAATTGGCACCGATAAGTCACCATCTGCATCGTACCGTTCAGCCGAATCGAGATCTTGCTTACGACCTTGAAAACCAGATTCATTTAATACATTCGTATTGCATATGTTTGTATTCTTAATAAGATCGTACCACATAGATGTGTAGCACTCAATAATGAAGGCAACTTATATATATGAAACTTCAAAAGAATTCTCTTCCTCAGATAATAAAATTTACAATAGTAATAAAATTTGCAATAGTTTGATGAAACCAACCATATTCATGCAAGTTCCCATTCACAGGCAGAAAGAGAATTCCAAGGAGCAAAACAGCATTGAGTATTTGAATTATTTCAAGCATCCGTAATTTAACCAATTTCATCTGAAAATCTTTTATTTAACTTTCAAAACTCATCATTTGAGACGAATTTTGTAAAATAATTAAAAACTTATACAAGAACCACTTTTCAATCCCTACAGCCTTCATCATAACTGCATAACTGCACTTTCATACCCCACAATCATGTGATGGATCGCCTGATAACGAGAGATTAATACCTTGACGCCTAAGCACAAAATTATTAATTTTTGATATATGCCATGTGAAGTTATGGGAAATAACAAGGGATTAATTAAACAAATCAAACTCGTTTTTTTTTTTCAACAGAACTAAATTCAGAATTGTTATTAGAAGGAAATGTTTGAAGAAATAAACTGTCAATTATGAGAAGTACACTTCGAATGAAATGGGATTAGTAAAGAATGTTTGTACCAACACAGATGGAAGAGTTCCTTAACAAATAAACAACCAAAGGAAAAGGGTGAAAAATAAAAAAGAAAATTCTGGCAACCAAACAGAAGAAACGTCAGTAGAGTGTGGATCATATTCAATAATGATGCTTGAAAAAAAACTAAGGCAAATAGAAAAGCAAAAGATGGAGTAGGCTGCTCGGATCGTAAGTGCATTTGCTCCGACATGGCGGCGCCACTTACCCTTTCCAATTAATTCATCTATCAGAAATGAAGCGCGTGATTTAAATTTTAGTAAAAAAAGAAAATTTTTTTTGAACTGGAATGATTTTTTTCGATCATTTCCTAATCATAAATGGAATAATTAACTTTCCTGCTGTTCTTATCTTACTACTTCATAGTTACTCCGTATACTAATTCTTCTATAATCTCAGAATAGCTCACCTTCAGTTATTTGCTTTAATATTAAAAATAATACCTGCGAAGTTTTTTTATCGGGTGATAATTTTATATATCCCAATCTGCCATTTCCGCCAATTCCGATATAACTGACCTGGAATAAAAAAGCATATCACTGAAACCTTCTAGACAGTACTCAAAGCAAATGCAGCAGTCCATAATGCATCATAAAATTGAATCCTATCATGAATGCAAACGGTACAACATAATATTGTGCACTGCTGACACAATTATAATACTGCACCTCACAGGCATCACCATTTGCAAAATTGTGAAATGCTTCTTAACTCGGATCTCCAGAAGGATGACTAAGAAACAAAACACTACAACCACGCTATCCCAACAAAAAAGGTGTGCCAACACCAGCACAAGGAATATGGTGCAACTTTTTGTCAGACACTGAAAATTTAGGGCTTATCCTCCCGAAAAAAAATCTTTATAATTGGTTACCAGAAATCACCAGAAACACAAAAATTTCCGTTCATTCAAATCCGGGATAGGAGTTAGTGAATTAATCTTTGCCCTTAACTACAACAGATTTGTAATAACTCTTCATATTCCATAGATTTCAATTCCTATTTTGCTGTTCGGTCAAACATTGGATGGATCACCGAACATACCAATCCCGCACATAAAGATTTAATAAAACGTCAAACGTCAAAGTGTCGGATGTAACGGCATCAGTGATGCAATTTTATGCCAGATACAGCAGATCTCCAGAAAAGAACTTATGATCCCACAGCCGACAAATTTCCCGTCCAATTCATTTCCCTGATTACGGATCGGAAACTAAGTAATCAGAATAACCAAATAATTTAGATACCATACTATACAACAATGAAATCTGCAACCAGTAATTCAAAAAAACTTATAAAAATTTGACCAGAAAGCATGTAGTGTAAGAACAGCCATGTTCAAATTCAGCAATTCATTCTTTGCCTTCCAAAAAAGAAAGTTTCATTAGACGCAAAATGATTAAGACAAATGAAAACGAGTACATCACAATATATCCATACACGAAATCTTTAAAACAACTAGAAAAAAATTCATATGCGTTCAACAACAAATGATACAATACAAAACGAAAATCTTCTGGAAGGTTCGAAAACAACTTCGACCATTTAAGCCGAATCCTGCGAAATAAATTCACATTTCATGTGTGAAAATAATAAGAAATATGCGAGAAACGAAACTTTCTCAGCTAATGGTAATGGAATACAAGAAAAATAATGAGACAAGATACAATGAGCAAACCTAATCACCAAATAAAAAACAGCAGTTACATGAAATATTAAAATTATCAACAATAATTTAAATAATTCTGAGAACAATGCTACAAATGAAAGAAATCGGTTACCCATTACAATAATATAATGCCTCTTTTTTAATTATTAAAAAGGTCCTTGAGGAGAAATTTGCGAACAAGAAAAATTCACAAGAAGCACTACATATGCCTTTAGTATTGTCGAAAACTTTTGTTCTCACTTTTCATTCCATCTAAATGCCCCGCTCAATACAATTTGAATTACGTACAACCTGCAATTAATAAATTAATCATGTGCGAAGCAGGTCGAGCCTTCGAATCTCGTTTGACGAGTTCAAGCTCGCACAAATGGAATTAAATATATGCGATCTAGAAAAATGCAATAAATAATACTAACAATTATAAATGATGACTGATGACGATACCCACCCTTAAGCTCAACAAACAATATACACATAAGAGAGATTACATGCGCGGATCAAAGACAATGAAATCACTCACAACGACAGTGAACAATCATTGTTTTGAACAGCCAATGACTAAAACGGTGTTAACCGAGGACTTCGATGCATAATGGAAATTAAGATTTCAGATTTCTAAGCGGAAATTATCTCGGGAATTAATAACTCAGTTAAAGAAGAAAATGTTGCAGAAATCACGAATAAACATCGATTTAACCTCGGAAACGATCACACAACGCCTCACACACTTTATCCCCGACTTGAGGAATCGAAACTAAGGCTTTAACATAACTAAAAGAGGATATGTTCAACAGGAATGGACATATTAACTATGTTACAAGTTGAAACAAACATGGAGACGTTGCATACAGTCCCACTTGCTCATACCCGTATTAAATATATCATTCAGCCAATCATCACATGATAAACCATTCATCGAACTGGTAAAAAAATGATAGAGCTGCACTTCACAAATTTACAATACTAATCTTAACAACTTAAAACAAAATATATATTACAAATCACGTTACATAAATACAGATAAGAACATATTGTCCTTTCAACAGCTGCTCCCTCTTTTCACTGGACGGATTAATTTCTACAAATGTGACTATACTATCCCAGAAATCATCACTTCATTCTCTCAGTGAAAATAATGCCACCACGTATTTATTACTTTAGCAATCAAAAAGTATGCGATTTCGAAGCAAAAGATGATACTGGGATAATACTGGGAATGGTTGCGGAGGGTAAAACAGTCCCAAATAGAGATGCTCGATAACTGTCATTGTAAAAAATTGAATTTGAGCATTTTGCTAGTACCGGTATTGGAACAACAGTAATTTTGCCGATTACCACTGCGAAATGCCAGCAAAAGAGGCATCACGCAGCTGTGCTGTTTGAACAGTGATACCATGCAGTACATTTGGACGATTCTCCACTGATAATGCGAACGACGAACAATCTCTTACCATCCCATTATTCAGTAAATGTGAACCAATATAATCAGCTGGAATTTTGTGGCAAAACTATTACCACAATATGAGGTATTATATGTGACGGGGAAAGAAAAAAACTTTACACAAATTACGTTACTTTGACAGACAGTAAAAGTCTTTCGGTGATTTGAGAAAGCCATGTCGCATCAGCAAGCAAATTCCTAAAAACACGTTATCTAGCAATTGAAAAGCAGTGGCAAAACAAAGCATGACAGAAAGAAATGTTTCAAAATAACATCGGTTCAGTTTTTTGTCACAATAAATGATCATTCGGACAGTCTGACGATTATTTCCTTTTTGATTTATAACGCAATCTATGTCAGAAATAGCCATGCATACAGTGCCGACTATCAAACCGTCACGCTCTATCCACCATCAGTAAGTTTCACCATTAAGAAAACGGTTATTACACTTATAAAATCATTAACAAGAGTTTATGAACCGATGCAATATAATCAACTTAAATAAGCTTTCTTTGTTACTTTATGCCCGTGAAAACAATGCAATTAATTATAACTCACTCCTCGTTTAAAATTGAAAATTAGTTAATGAACGTTAATATAAATAAAGGAGAAAAATATAACCAACCTCCAAAGCGAGTCTCCATATCATCCGCCGGTGGTACTATTTTTGTCTTACGTGTTGTTTGCCGTGAAGCGGTGTTTTGTTGAATCTGATATGAAGTGCAATTTGAACGCTGCTTATTTCTGCTAGCAACATTCGCTCCCCGTTGTATATTACCCGCAGCAGTGTACGAATGTAAGCCATAAGCTGAAAAAAAGTATGGTATCACGTTTTCATCTTCCGAGTTCTAGAGAATACTAACGATTATCTCTGTAAAACTTGCTGCACTGTGGCAATAACACCGATATGCTTAATTTTCATCTACAGTTCGGTAATATTGTCATATTAACTACTTCGGTAATAGTACCATCATATATTGCTTTGATGAGAACGTAATATTGGGATTAATCACTGGTATTCAATAAGATTCTGAGTTTACACATACCTGGATACATCCGATCCTTGGAATTAACACGTACTACATCTGCGATGGAAGTGGCAGGATAATTGCTTCCTTCATTTTTCAATTCCGGATGAAAAACTAAAGTTTTTTCAGCTCCAGATGAAGAAAGATGATGACCAATTCGTCGATGTGGTGATACCTTCACGGCTCGCGCACCTTCTACTACAAAATAATGAAATCATTTTTAACAGCAAATTTTAAAAATAGAAAGTTTCCTACCATGAGTAGTATTTTCTCAGAAAGCTGGAGCTGATTTGTATAAAACAATATACCATTTGTTGCAGTTAAAGGACGAACTCTGCTCAAAACTGTTGGCTGCACCTTTTGTATGGCTACGTGCCTTATTGTTGGCTCGATCCGTGATTGGTGTTCTACATGTCGCACTTCCGCACAGCCGAATTCATTCATCTCTCTTTCACGATCTTTTCTTTGCCTCTGCAGCAGATCAATTCCTCGACTCATTACAAATGAATTTAAAAGATGAGTTCAAAGGTAAAAATGTCTAAACTTCAGTTGTGGAATTTCCGTAATTTTTGAAAGAGGTTCACGAAACAGAGAATGCGGTGCTTTTTCATAAGTGATTGCATTTGTTTTTTCTTGAACAAATTATGTTAACGTGAGTAATCAAACTAACATTATATATATGATCGAGATCAGCAGAATGCGACGATTTCGACGGTATGTACACATAACGATATTCAGGGCGTATTATAGTCCTACCATGAATTGGTACGCATACTTCATGCGGTGTTACTTGTGACGCAGCAGCCTGCTGAGTCGTATCCGCATGAGAACGAAATGTACGAAGAACCCGCGGCGCGAATCCTTTCTTCCGTGTCATGTGAGGTACATAATTCGAACTCCTGAAAAAAGCTACGCACTAAGCGTTTGAACAGGAACTGATTATCAAAAGTAGTTTTTTTTCTAGCAATATTCGGAACCACAAGATTGTACATGCATAGGGTTTTATGCTCACTACTTACATCATCATTATGATTAATGCAAGACGACTCTTTTTCTACCTCTAACGATCCTTACCGTCATCAAAAACTTCAAAAAAATTACCGAGTTCCATGAAGGTTGGCCGGTGTCCCTGGGCTGTAACCATAAGGATGTTCAGGCATTGCTTCCTTCGTAATTTTTATCGCCGAATTTCTTCCTAAGGATACCCGGCTACGTTCAGACCGTAAATTATAATTGATCTGATCGAAATGCTGGTGTAACTCTGCAAGCGAATAACTTTGCATTATATCAGAAAGGGAAATGTCAAGAATAAAAACACACGGCTTAATAAGGAAAACATATCTCGATAAAAAAATAATTGAAAGAATAAGCCTACCTTGGTTAGGAACCGTTAGCTGTACCGGATCACGCATTTCTCTGTGCATCTCCCCTGCCATATTATTGTGAAAACTTGGCAACTGGGGTAATCGTTCTACATCATCCGGCAAATCATGCGCCCTGCAAGCACCAGATGTTAATATCAAGATGTTCTAGGGACGTTAATCATGAAAATAGGAAAGTATTTATGGATAAACTAACTTAGTCATAATGATTTGAAAACGAACCCATGATTTTGCTCCGCCAAAAAAATATCGGGAGGTGAAGATGTTGTTTGTGGTGGATAATCTACAGTCGTTTTTCCATTGATTGGTACCGTCAATAACCTCGCATTTGGATAATAGATTTTCTGTTCCGGATCGATGTAAACATCCCGATATGACACACCGCTAAAACATTTAATATTGAAAACAGAAATTTATGCTTTTCTTAAGATTTTATCCTGAAACTAGTAATCTGGTAAACATACTCAGCACAGAATCCTTCCGTTGGTGATGATGAATATGTTCGACTGCTTCTTTTCTGTGGTACGAAAGCAACCTGGAAAAAAGACTTCCTGAATCACAATCTCCTTTTATATGACTTCTTTCTCTGACCCAAAGAGAGAAGCATCGACCCTGCCTTACCTAAAAATAATAGGGGAAATTGGGATGGTTTTCGAACACAAGCATCGTACGAGATTTCCATTACTAAATACATTGCATTAAAGCACACCTTACTTACTAGGTAAAATAATTGTATTCTTACTCGGAAGAGTTCAAAAATAAACTTGCCGAAACAAGTTGTGGGCAACGATGCTGTTGTTGAGGCAAACATATTTCATGCTCCATTATAGGATGCGTTCTGTGACCGAATTCACTTCCCATATAACCTTCTTCATTACGTGATAAATGTCGACTCCTTACATCTTCCGAAACTTCTCCTTGTGGATAACCATACAAACTGCTAGAAACAAAATCAACTATGCCAAGGTCTTAAACTAATAACAGTGGGTTCCACGTACAAGTGGTATAACAAGTGGTTTTATAAACTAATAAAATTTACTAAGTGCCGATCATTAGGAATTCGGAAACGATCGCAGAACACACTTTCAAAATATTTGGATGAAACAAAACATACGGTCCGGTTGCGACAATCCTTTCTTCAATCGGATAGCGGGTTCCAATACTGCCACGACTTGCATTTGCATCCTCCTCATTTTGCTCTAAAACCACACAGCGATGACGAACACCATCGTAATCACTTAAATCCAGATCTTCGTTTGGATGTAGGGATGATGGCTGTGACAAATCAACCACTTCTCGATACCCGTTAGGAATGAGTCTTCCATGAGGTTGCAACAATAGATTTTCCTCTACATGATGATCATGATAAATATCTTTTTGTGAAGATGCAATAGGTGCTGTCACGGGATCTACTATATAGCACTCTTTCTCTGCTACTGGAGACAGTTGGGGTGGTGATGGTACATAAAATCGATGTGGATCGGATTCACATAGATGACTCTCATTACCCGGATCTTCCAATGACAATATCGCATTCGGCGTCCAATTCTGTTGTGTTTCGCCTTTTTCTGATCTACAATAAGATAAATCATTGAAAATGATATTTAAATCCGAAAAAATCAATATTATATATCGTATATAAATGATCGCATATAAAACCTTCTGTTAAGTTTTCAAAATAGAGAAATTCTGTTTCTTGGAAATGAAGTCATAATAACAAAATCATTCCTTTCCTTTTTAATAATTATTCGGAAAAGGCATGCTAAATCTTGTATATAGAATCATCTGAGTTAAATCTAAGACTAAGAATGACTCACTTGAGAGTTGGGCACGCCGTCACATCCTGAGACAAATCTATATCTAAATCTGCTTCATTCCACTGTCCGGAACAATTTGCCATCACTTCCGCTTGCTCTTTCGCATCAAAAGTTTCGTCGTTTTCTTTTTGCAACCTTTCTAAATTGTCGATCGATTTCAGTGCAGTTGTCGGCTGCGCTTCTTTATCCATTGACAGCAAAGTAGAAGCAGAAGCCGGTTGTGTTAATGCTTCCGCTGGAACTATATTAATCTCAGTGGAAGCCTTTGAGCTTTGAGTTGTTGCAACACCATTACAAATATGACTATCACCCGTATTATCATGTCTAATAAGAACATTACTCGATACTAATTTAGTCGCTTCACCAGCACTTTGCTCTGAAAATACAGTTCTGTAAGTCTTTTTATTTCAGTAATTCTTTTTAAATTAATAATATAAATTTCAAAGGCACTGTAAAAGTTAATATAAAGACAAAACGGTGAATTCATTTGAACATCAAATGCTAAGCCCGCTAAAGAGACAGTATGCATTCTCTCGACCGTGGAAAAACTTTTTCAGCTAATACTAAAAAAAGATGTAAATTGGAAATCAAGCTACACTCGTAAATTATAAAGATAATACCTTTTTTAGACAACCGCTTTTTCTGCCGGAAATGTTCTAAAGAGAAATTGTCTTCATCAGATGAATCTCGTCTTCTTTTCTTCCCCTTTTTGTCTTTCATCTTGCCATTTAATCGCCGATTAACTTTAGCACTAATCCGTACTTCGTCTTTGGTACCGTTAGGCAAACTTGAATTATTTTGTCCATTTGCTTCACTTGAAACCTGTCAACATATATATATATAATATCTCGGAGTATGGGATAAAAAAGTAAAGATAGTCTACGAAATTGGCTTCCGCACATTCCACAAAAAAATATTTCCTCTTTCTAAGTAAAATGAGGTTCCAGGTAACCAGGCGTACAATAACGAGGACTGCTACGTATACCTTAAACGAACGCTTGGAATTTAACGAATTGTAGATTAACTTGGAAAGCTTACTTTATGTCCCGATACTCGCAATGAAAGTTTGAGATCGTCTTTCTGTTCCACGGAGTACCTTGTTGAGGTAGCCTGAGATATAATACTTCCATTTCGACCTGAGCTCTCCCTGAAAATTAGCGAAGCGATAGAATATCAATTCTGAAGTGGGAGGAAAAATGATAAAAAACTATTCAAACACCACGTAAAGAAAGCTAGTTCAAGCGTAAAAATCAAGTATCATATTCAGTGGAAATTATATCCAGTACTTAATTTTACGATGGAAACAAACTTAGGTGATGCGATCGGTGTTGATAATCGCCGATACGGCGGTGAAAGAATAGGTATTTCCAGACGTGGGGAAACGACACGATGAGGAGGAGAAAGCAAAAAGGACTGGCATTCGTCGCCAGAGTTTGAATTCATATGATAACCATGCTGGGAACGCATATGATGCCCATAGCCAACATCCTTCAAAATTAAGCCACACTTCTGCAAAGAAACTTCACTTTATAAAAAAACTTCACTTTTTAAAAAAAAATGTGTTAGGAAAAAAAGCACAATGTACAACCGCCTGTGCATATGTACAACTGGCAGAGTTATTAACCTTGCAATTGATTAGCAGCATGGATTCGAGTTCAATGCTAGGATAAAAACCGTAACAAATTGCTTCTGAAAAAAGGTATTACTTCAAAAAATAAAACTGACGTAATATTATGACAGAAAATAGTGCAGGAAATATAAAGATTCCTTCTTTAAACCTTCTCAATATTAAACAAGCATGGTTCGGTTCTACAATAAAGGATTTTCTCATTGTCCATAATGTGAAACATATCCCTGAATCACTAAAGCTTTACGCTGTGATTACACCCTATTATATACATAATATTAATATCGAATTTCCAATAAATAAGACTTATAAGATCAGCGATCCACTTGTTCGCAATTCAGGCAGGGTCGTCTTCGACAGTGTTTTTCGGCTTGGTATAAAATTTGGAATATTCCTCCCGGTGCTGCGAAATCAACCATAAATGCGAATGAAATAATATTTACAAAACTGAAATCAAATCAACTTACTCTGCGACGGCATAGCAGCAGCATCGTAATTTGTACCGGAGGCAGCCATCAGACCACGTGTTTGCGTTACACGTTGCCATGCTTCCCAATCGAGTCCCACCAAACTGGCATCGCTTTCCTCTGTCGACATAACTTTTCACAGAAGAGTGGCCAGTAGCAACGAATAATTTAAAATCAAAATTTGAATAAAACTCCAGTGTATCCACGGATTCCCTTATCACAAGCATTTCGTATAAACAGTCACCATTATACACAATATATAAATAATCATGTTGCAGCGCGATGCCCCCATCAGTACTAGAGGGTAAGCTGAAATGAATCCAGTAATATTAGAAAAATGCAAAATCCCAGGCAATATTTAATTTCAAAAACATTCACTGCAAGGTATATTGATGATAACACAGTATTGTCGATTCGATGAAACATTCAGTGAGGAACTTAAAAATCAAGCGAAATAATATGTAAATAATGAATTTAATTAAACACTGATGGTGTAAAAAAAATAAAACAAATTTTATGACAGTAATGTTCTATTCCACTATCATCATCTTGTGGTTCCTCAATCTATCCTCTTTTTTTGGACTTAGCAATTCGTCTACCAAGACTGTCATCGAAATCTTTCCACTCAAAACAACTATGAAAGTTCATAACCAATAATCATTCGCTAAATGTTTAACACGTAACGTCAATGCTAGAACTGTAACTGTTTCCGTAATATATTCACTCCAGCACTCTTTCAGCTGACCTGTCTATATGACATTCCGTTACTTCATGCGGTTTATTCGTACAAAGAGAAAGGGGAGGCAGAGAGAGGAAAAGAGAGAGAGAGAGGGAGAGGGAAAGGGAGATAAAAGGGAGAGGAGATTACACCATCCATTCTGGGCAATTGCCGCAAGAAAACCATGCATGGGCTAGTTTAGCGGTACCTTCTAAGGAAAGTTTGAAGGAAAAAAGTGCAATTCGATATTTTTTAAAACAGAGTTTGTATGCTCACTTCCACTGTATTCTTTCCCCCATACTTTCGTCACTTATATGAGTTAAGTTCAGGTTGAACACTAGGTCCCTTTCATACAAATGAATTCAGTTCATTCCAGTAAGTTTAGCTCGGTATACATAAGTCTAATTTGCATATATAGCTTCAATTCATATAACTTCAGTTGACTTCCTTAAGTTCAACTCGTATATGTCAATTTACTTCGCAAACTCAATTCAGTTTGTGCACGTTATTTCAATTCTAGGTTGGAGTTTTTCTTTTCGGTGATTATCATATTGTTGCAGTTACCTGTCACGTTGTTTGGTGTCTTCTCACATATCTCGCCCGTAAGAGTAAGAGGCGGGTGGGTTTTCCTTGCCATAATTTTTGGTACCATAATTTTTTTCGGTATTTTCGGGCTGGGTAATTCACCATTAAAAAACTCCAGCATTTCTCATATTTTTCTGCGGGAAAAGGAGCAGAACACTTGGCGTAGCGGGGGAGGCGGATTAATTCATTCTTCTAACTTTGCCACAAAAAAAACCCCACACCGGCCATACAACTACACTGGTTTCAGAAAGCGCAAATATGGATCGGGAATTCTTCAACCTTTGCACACATTTCGTGAATACTTATTAGCGGAGACATGGATAGTTGTCAAATGCAAGCACATGACATTACGGTTCGGCTTGGGAAGGGTATAACTTAAAAGTGGGGACAACTTGAAAGAAGAGGTTCTGAGCACTTCCGTTCTGAAACTGTTAAGCTTTTGATTTTGCTATTGAACTCCTTTGACCAATCAAACTTTACCGATAAACACTTCAGGAATAGAAAACAAACCGAGAAGAGACACTATGAATACAGTAATCTCACAGAGCATTCGGTATGACGCTACTGAATGGTACCATCTCAGTTATTTATTTGTTCGTTGTAGTTCGTCCTTTAATTGTTAGAGAAGCGGTTTCGTCAAGTAGCAGTATGAATTCCGGGAAGTGTAATAGCAGTATGAAGAAAAATTGTAAAATAGATGAAGTGCAGAATCTACGGGTCCAGAAACTGACGACTGCGTAAACGTGCTGGAAACCGGTTGGTAAAAGCCTGCCTCTCCGGACCCGGAAAATCGTATGTACCACTGCATAATTTTGCCAGGGAATGTTTCGTTGAATAGTCCACTTCCTCCCCCCCCGCTAGCCCACAGCTGTCTTTCCACTCCTATCCCCCACCCCCAGCCGTTGCCTCAGAACGCAACGCGTAACGCTCGCCTCCGACCAACGCATATCCTCGCATTGCTATAAACAGTTGCAGCGCGGGTCTCGTAGCACGTTTACGGCATCGGGTTACGGTAAGATCACAGTCAAATGTTGATGTGATGGAAATTGATGAAGGTAAGGCGAAGTAAAAAAGAACTGGAAGGTTACCCGATAGCGATGCCCATAGGTCGGGTCATTTGTTGTCCACAAAACATTTTATAATGTTTGGGTTTAAGAGAAATACAAACAAAATACAAACATATGCCGTTAAGAAATCGATTCAGAAATTGAATAACTCGATAATGGACTGACCTGAACGGAAGTGATGGTCAGCAGTTAACTAAGGATGCACAGCACAATGATGATGCATACTTGCAATTAACTTAGAATATATTAGAGTCTCGGTATATGAAGTATAATAAAGATTAAGCTCCTCCCTGAAGTAAATTGATATCATTTCTACATGGGACGATAGTGCACATCATTCTATACTGAACAGTAATGGACAGAATATTACTGAGAAATTTTTGTCGTAGCTGAAATTCCTAATGGACTTGGTGTAATCGGTGATAGCATTATTTGTACGACAATTTCTCAACCGATTAGGCGAATTGCATCAAAGATGTCACAATTACTGGTGATCAACCACGCAACATATTCAAAAGCGGGTTATGCAATTTGAAAGTTAATCTGATGTGTTAGAAAGCAGTTAAGTGATCGTTTTATCCAATGCAGAAAATAGTGGAGGAAGATAAACAGATGAGGTCAAGGATGACGCATTGGGTAACCGCTGCATACCTAATTTAGAAACATTGCAAATGATCCAAGAACTGAATTCCGACTTTTTTTTATTATTGAATGGGGTGGGACTTATATGGAAAGGTAGAGAGGTGAAACAGCAGGAACCATCTTTTGATTCTATCTCTACCGATCCCAGTTTCTAGTCACTATCTTATAAACAACAGTCCCTCCTTCTTTTTTGGACCTCAGTCGTATATTCGTCGAAAAATCGAACGAAATCGATAAAATGAAAATTAGCCTAAGCTTAATTTTTTAGGAAGAATATAAGGAAATTTGTTTTATTTAGTCTACTTGATTATCCAATCAAATTACTCTTAGCTTCTATTTATATCGAAATCACTTTAATAGTAAACTAAGAAATTTCAATAAAAAAACTATTAATTAGTTTTATTAATTAATTTCTTCATCAAAACTATTAATTAGTCCTTTCATCAAATATTTTCCTCTTTGTGAAATTTTCAAACAGTAGAAATTATTTGGTTGATGAATGAATATTTGATGTTTCTATGCAACTGTAAATGTTCTATGAATCTTATTTTTCTAAAAATTAATATGATTCAGTGAGGATGACGATGATGCAGAAGAAAACAACAAAAAAATTGAATTTTGAAATCATCTTTCCTAATCATTTGTTCATGGCTAATGTCCAGTTAATGTAGTAATCATTATGCCTTCTTATGATACACACATCTCTCAACCGTAACCAATCATTTCGTTACGATGAAATGAACCTGAAAGAGAGAGGTCTTTTGCATTTTTTCTTGTCCTTCATAAAATCCAGTCAGCCAATTTAATTTTATATGTTTACTTGAACACTTTACCTTTCAAATGTTTAATTTATTTAGAAAACGAAGGATTGCAATCTAACAAAGCTTTCAAGATTTTTGAAATAGCATAAAAACATCAATCGATTTAATGGATGTATAAATTATGATAGGAATGAATTCTTCTTAATTTGACATTGAATTCCTTCCGATATTAGGAATGAATTCTTATCGTTCGGAACAACGAATAAGAAGAAGCCAACAAAATATTTGTTGATTTTATTTGCAACAGAAACAAATAAATTTGAAAAATTACAAGATGCTTGAAATTTCGTTGATTTTATAAAAATAATATAATTTTCATGAATATCACAAATGAATAATTCTTCAGAATCTTCTCTTAATATGACTCATCGCTAGTACTGAGATATAAAATGAATTGATTCATTGATTCGAAAAAAGTTAACATTTTAGAATCTTCAAAAAAAAAAATTTCAAATTAAAACTTATATTAATTTATATGATATTATTTATAAATAAATCAGAGAGATTTCCAAATTAATTTTAATGATTAGATAAAGATAAATAAATACTGAAAAGAATGTATAAATGAAAAGATTTGAAAAATTTTCCTAAATTACAAGCAATAATTATATTACATTAAACCGATTCGTAAAGTTTTAATGGGAATCATTTAAGTTTTTTAAAAATTTCTGAAATTTCTATTCGAACAGTTAATTCTGAGTCATCTATAAGAATTTTGTACGAAGTGAAAAATTACGGTACTTCGGTATTCCGAGTATACGACGATAGTGTTGAAAAATGTTTACTCAATACATTACTCATTTATGGAATGGAATAGTTAACCGCCTCAAAGCTATTTGCATATCAAATGTTGTTACTAATTGCTAGAAGTAATATGATAAATTCGATTAAATATCTTTTGCAACTTTGAGTAGCTACAAAAACGAATATTTTATTTTTAATTAAAAAAATCTTTTCAATATTTAAATTTCGAACTTTTTCAATATCCTCAATAGGTTGGTAGATTCTTTTCCAATATATTTCAATTTTACATATATTCAATATTGCATCTTATTTACCTTAAATATGTAAATTTTTGTATTTTCTTAATAAGTTGCCAAATTGTTTTTCGGTAGATTATTTTAATTTTACATATTCAATATTGCATTTTATTTGCCTTCAAATTTTATTTTACATATATTCAATATTTCTTAATAGGTTGGCAAATTCTTTTCCGATAGATTATTTCAATTTTACATATTCAATATTACATTTTATTTACCTTCAATTTTAATATTCAATTTTATATTTACCTTCAATTTTAATATTCACTTTTAGTAAAATTTCTGATAAAATTTTATACATTTTTTTTGATAACTTTATCAGAGCACTTTATTTTCAGTAATTTATCAAATAGCAGAAGATTACGGTAAAAGATTACAACTTGCTAAATTATGCCTATGGAGGTAATAAACGATTATTATAAAGTATGATTGATCTGTTAGCAGGATAGTGCTACAGTAATGATTATAGATATCAAAATTAAATTGAACCGATATTAGGATATATCGTTTCATTCCTATTTGTATACTGGGTATGATTCATTTTTTTAAGATCTTCATTATCATATCATTTTTATCACTTTCCACATGATTGATGATCTAAATTAAAACGAAGGAAAACTGAAGTTGAAAAATAAAATGAATAAAATGTTAAAACATCGAAGCTTAAAAGACCAATTTTAAAAATTGTTAAATATTGACAGCAACTTTGCTATATTAAATATTCAAAGCACTTTTTTATTTTAAATATAATTTGAAGTTTCAAAACTTTAATAATATTGCTTCAATAATTTTCGCGTTAAGTAGAAAAAAAAAATTCTTGAAATCAATTCAAATATAACTGCGCTAATATGTAATATGTAGAACATGATCATTTGCGATATTATTTTTCGGTAAA